GGATAATTTTGAACAGAGAAGGAAAATGTAAGATTTATCAGGCAAAGCGGGTAGAATCCAGAGAGGGGAGAGCACAAGTCCTGCGGAGAGATCAGAGCAGCGGGGTGAGAGGCAGTGAGCACACCTGCCCAAGGCGGTGGGGGTGAGAATACGCGGATGCTCTGTTACTAGAAAAATTGAGACGAATTCAAAATACCTCGTATGCCCTGAAAAAATAATGAACAGAATGCTGAGTCTCTTGGTATGGCTGCCAGAGGATATATGATAGGTACATATCTTTGAAAATAAAATGATGAGGCAGCATCTCTGACATTGGAACTTTATCACTAATGTTGTAACTTCACCTTCCCCAGAATTATGTCCCTTAGAGGAGAAGCCAGAGAGGGGAAAGTAGCCCTCTCTTCTCCACCACTGTGGGAATCCAACCGTCTATATTTTTATATAAAAATATTTTTTTACCCTCTTTTCTCCACTACTATGGGAATCCAACCATCTAAGCTGATAAGGGGAAAAAAACTCTATAAGCCTTAGGACACTGTTACTGTAGGAATTACCACTCCCCAGCATTCTTTTTTGCTTTTCCCCCAGTCACTAGAAGACACCTAGCTTATAATTCCTGTCCTTGGTGCTTGAACTTGAGTGACTTCATCTCCCCTAGAGTGGTGTTGAAGTGCTGTTCGTTCAAGACTAGGAGCTTCCCCAAAGCAAAGGCTGTGTCTCTCTCACCCTCGTGGGCTCGGCAGCCAACTTTGCCTCAATCATAGTGGGCTCAGTAAATGTTTGTGGAATGAACTACTGAAAGCTCTAAGCAGCTTTCAGCTATTTGAGTCAACTGACTAACATCTACATGATTTAAATAGCAATTCTATGAATTGTGTGTATCTTCGAGTTTACCTGTTACAGAAAACTTGAAAACTTTCTATATTCCTTTCTATGTGTATAGATATTTTAGAACACAGAATGTTTTCCAGGACCTATTTATAAACTACCTAAAATCAAGTAGTCTTTTCAAATCAACTCTGATTGAAACTTAAGATAAATTGAAAGGAATTAAAGATTTCTAGTATCTCTCACATACTAAAAAATATTGGAATACATATTGATCGGTCAAGAGAAATATTAACCCTTGTAGGCAGATGCACTTGAGAAGATATCTATTTCTATAATTTTTGTCATGAGCAAAATTTTAAACCATTGGTAATTAAAAATAATTTTAAATGATTTAATAATTTTAATAATGCTTTAAAATTTCATCACCCTTATTGAGCAGAGAATATAAAGTTTTTTAACTCATTCTTTTAAAAATTACTTTGTAATGACATTAATCTTTATAAGGCCTCAGCTTAGTAGAAGAAAAGTTCTACAGTAGCTTCTTCTCAACTGTGATGGTCATGTTTCCAAACAGCCCCTGGAGTTTCTGATAGAGAAACAGGAGGACCTCAGTGGCGGAACAGAGTTAAAGGGACCGGACTTGGGTAAAGTGCACGCTGTACTCAGTAAAACAAAGCAATAGAGCACTTTCAATAAGGATGTTGTCAGTGCAGTTTTAGACATATTGTGGAATCAGTTTTCAACCTTCTTGTAAAAACTAATGAACAGTTTGGGCCCAAAAAGCTGTTTATAAATGCATTTGACTATAAATGAGAAGAGCCAAACCTTGCAGGTTCTGAGCACACACCCACCTAAAAGGAGTACCACTTGTCCCTCAGAACTTTGAGCCAGGTGCACCCCATTTTTTCTTGCCAGTAAATGCTCATTGGGGCATGCCAAAAACTTCTGTGGCGCTTAATTCCCCGGTGATCGTTCTAGATGCTGCAGACACTCATTGATTTTGGATATGAACAAAGCCCAGGAGCTTGCCTCTGTAGCACCATCTAAAGGGGTAACAAAAGTTTTATTTTCACTACTTTGACCTCATTTGACCTTTAAATTCTCAAGTGCTTTTTTTTTCATGAATTAACATTATGTAAAGAAGCATTTTAGTGTTGATGACTGATCATCTTGGGATGCAAGTCTTGATCCATTTTGTCAGTTTCTTTTCTTTGCCCATAACGTGGGGGCAGTGTTTGTGAAGTGTTACATCAATTGCCTTTTTAAAAAAATCACCATCTTTACTGGAATCAAATGATTGATCCTATATTCCTGTGTACATATCACCACTTTCAAGTTTGTCTGAATGATTTCTACTTTTGTTTCCCTCACGACTCTTCATCTCTTCTTATCACTTTCAACACTCTGGGAGTAATAGGGTGATACTCTATATGACACTTGTCAGAACTAAGCCTAGAATGGTTTCTAAGGGGTGGAATGCCCACACAAGCCAAAGGGAAAAGTTCATTGCCTCTTGTGCCATTCAGCAGCCTGCTCTCAGTGGTGGGTGGAATTTTTCAGCTGCACTCTGGAGAGTAGCCTTGTTTATATTTGTGCTTGCTTGAGAATTCCCACAAGTTTCCAGTTAATGTTTCTTACTGGCTAGCAATTTCAGTGAGAAGGTTATAACATCTTTTTGCTTTGCTGCCGGTAATAAGCACTTGGCGTAGTTCTCTCACCTTCTTGCTCTTACTCCAACTAATTTTTGACTTCTATCTGAATTAATGACTTAGGGGACACCAACTCTTTTCTCCAGGGTCTCACCCCATCTCCATCCCCTACTTATAACTTTATCTCCACCCTTCTTTGCAGACGAGAGTATACTATTAAAGCTTGAAATTACTCTCCCTCATGTTTCTTTGTACTTCCTAGGACATTGTAACTAATTTATGAACAGCTTTACCAGCTTTTTCTATTCTTATACTTGATTCTTGTAAGTTGCTTAAAAGTGTATTTCTACAAGTATACACCCAGATTTTGAACAAAGGGAACTCGTGATTAAGGAGGAATCAGTCTCTTCATATTTAACATATAAATCAACTTTTCTAGCTCCTATGAATGAATTCCTAATGCTGGGAAATAAAGATCACTTTATTTCTGATAATTCCTAGATTTTACTTTTGATGAGAAATGAAAGTTACACATATAGTGTAAATGAGTAGGAAAATAATAAAAAATAAAACACATATGTATTGTTTGCTTACATTGTTTAAAGTAAGATATCCAAGGGATAACTCTTTTATTTATTGCCTTCAGTGTCTACGTGCTTTAGATTGTCATAGCAATGTCAGTATGTTGGTTAAAAATCCCCAACGAATTCAGAGCATGACCTGTTGTTCGGAGGTAGCCTTTCTTCCACAAGAATATCCATGCATTTGACCTTAGACTAACAGAGATTTATCACTGGCCCTTCGCAGCCCTTCATCAGTATGTTTGAACTTTGCTGTGCTGGTTCTTATAAACTGAGGTGTTTAGGATCACTTGAGGCTTATAAAACCGAGTAAACAGTTCTAAGGGGGTTGAGGACAACTGAAGGGCTAAGGGATGGCAGATGGGCTGCCACTGACACAGAGCAGACCCACCCAGGTGCCATGACTAATGCCAGGCTCAGAGCCATGCTCCCTGTCCCTCCAAGGACTTGCCTTGGACGCTGAGCATGCTTATATGTGAGGAGAAGACGGAAATACAGTTCAGAACTTCATTTCTTAGCACATGCAGTTGGGGGCTATGAGTTATATTGGGGGTCTGCCAGCATTCATCACCCAAAGTTGTGAAGAGAGTAATGTTTATTTACAAATAGTTCTATATATGAGGGGGGAACCCTCAAAAACCTGGCATTTATTTATAAAAAGTGTGTATTTATTCTTGCATGTTTAAACTTCAGTGACCTTCAAAGTACTCTCCATTTGATGTAGTACACCTATTAAGACATTTTCCCACTGGTCAAACAGTTTCTGAACTCATTGATTTTGATGCCTTTTAGTGCTTCTGCCATTTTTTGTTTCACCTCTTCCACATCAGCAAAGTGTTTCCCTTTGAGAACTTTTTCATCCGGGGAAACAAAAAGATGTCAGTCAGGGTGAGATCAGGTAAATAGAGAGGGTGGGGCACAGAGGTCACGCCATTTGTCTCAAAAACGGCTGAACACTCAGTGTGATGTGGTGTGGGCAGGTGCCCTCATAAACCACCCATCATGAAATGGGCAAATGCATTAAAAAAGTCTTCAAAAGACAACAACCAACACAACAGCAGCCACCTGGTGTGAATGAACCAAATTATACCTATTTTTTGTCAGATCAACAAAAAATTTAATTTCTGGTGTGCAGCAGGATTTTAATAACTAATTTGTGTGTCACGTGATGAAAAAAATTGCAAATCGCAGCTTTAGGGCGTCATTAAAACCTGTTCTTTCTGTTGTCCATCTTTACTCCCCCCAGGTTAAGTCCAGACTGCCTAAAACAAAACATGATGTTCTTATATGACAGGCCAGCCAGAAGCAGAAATATGAAAAGGCAGAATCTTAGTCATGTCACGTGTGCTGTGCTGATCCTACCCCCCACCCCTCCTTAGCTTGAGTGCTTTTGTAAGAGATAAGTGTATTTCACAACCTCAGAGCAAGTAGAACCACCGTAGCCATTCTGCTGCATGGGTCGAAGCCCCTGCTACGCTTCTCACTGGCTGCATAGCCTATGAGAAATCACTCACATTCTCTGAGCCTCAGTCTCCTCGTATACAAGGTAAGAGTAGTACGATGTTCCATAGAGCTGTTTTTCTGGGTTTATAAGAGATCCCTGCAAAGGACCAAAGTAAGTATTTAGTAATTGGGATAGATGGTTATTCATTGAATATGTTATGTGGAAATTCTGGATACTTCTTTCTTACAAGTTTCTGGACAGAAGAGGTATTACCAAATGTTTTACGATAATGAAGTCAACTTTCATAAAAGGAAGTTTTAGGATTCTCTCAACAGATTGTAGCCGGTAATGATCATGGAACTTCTCCTTGTTTGTAGTGAAACAAATGATAGACATCTTCATTTTCTTTCCCCCTAGACACACACCCACTCACACACACACACTCACACACACACACACTCACACACACATTCACTCTGCCCATTTGGTCTTTAGCACAGATGGATATTGTTTCACGATGATAGAAGAAGATGATTCCGGGACGCCTGTGATCACTTCCGGATGTCTGGGACTGGAAGGCTCAGATTTTCAGTGCCGGGTAAGGAAGAAACTTGATTCCACTCTGTAACATTTCCTTGGCTATTTCAAACAGTCAAGTTTCAAGTAGGATAAAACAATTGCTTTCTTATCCTTTGGCTAACTTTTTTTAGTAATTTGGAAAATAATTTGAGCATTCGTATTGGGCCAATTCTCCCTTCATTTTTGCAGTTAAGTATTTTTATTTTTGCAATTAACCTCTGGCTTATTGTCCCCATTAGATCTTCTTGCTCAAATTCCAATTTAGTTAATTGCATTAGACCAAGCTTTCTTCCTCATTTTATACTGTATGCACTGGTTATTACAAATGCAGTAGTAATTTGGTAGAAATGCAGACATTGCAGTAAAATAATATATGATAATTTGAAGAAATTTTCTAATAGATAACAATGTTTTCAACATGTTTGAGTAAGAATATTGAGTTATTTAAATAATGTTAGTTTCTTAAGTGTTAGATTACGTGCCTGTGAAATTCAGGGAACACCCACCGATTGCTTTCTGGGTTCACTTTTAGGACACCCCCATTCCTCATCAAAGAAGGTCAATTGAATGCTGCACAGAACGGAATGAATGTAACAAAGATCTACACCCTACACTGCCTCCACTGAAAAATAGAGGTAAGGAGAGGGAGGCTGCCAGGCTGGAAAAGCTCCATTTATTTTCTTAAAGAAAATAATAATGTACCCTGGCTGGTGTGGCTCAGTTGGTTGGGTGTCTCCCTGCACACTGGAAGGTTGCAGGTTCGATTCCCGGTCAGGGCACATGCCTGGGTTGTGGGTTCGGTCCTCAGTTGGGGCACGTACAACAGTCCAACCTATTGATGTTTCTCACGTTGATGTTTCTTTCTCTCTTTTTCTCACTCCCTTCCCTTCTCTCTAGAATCAATAATAACAAAAAACTTTTTTTTAAGGAAAAATGTGAATTATATTCTCCTTTCTATATGAATCTACCTGTACCATTCTTCACTGTTGGGACAGAGGACAAGGCAAGAGGACATAATGAAACTGTCTTTCAAACACAGGTGCAAGTAGTTCTTGGGAAAGTGGTCTTAATGGCCTTCACTCCCGAGAATCCGACTACTTAATCTCTCCCCTCGTCCCCTCAGAAAATACAGTTTGTGGAGCTTGGAGTGTGTTTTGCAAGAGCAGAGAAGGGAGGCGGTGTTTTATACTTACCCCTAAATATTATTCAGAGGTTGTACTTCATTCAAAAACTGCTATTTGTCTACATTTATTCAAAAAATAAGGACCTTAAAAAGGACTAAGGCAGCTTATGCCCTAGATGGCATTTCCTTTCATCTGTGCTAGAATAATTACTTTTTAACCAAATCATATATCATATATCGATAAAATAGAGAAAACATCTATGGCATTGAATTTAAAGATTTATGCATTTAAGTGTTTGCCATTAAAAAAAAGACTAACACCCCAATACTTCTTGTTAAAACCAGCGCCTGCATTTCCTTTCCCCTTCTTTTTTCTCATCACAGAATAAATTATTCGAAGTTGTCACAGAACTCTGTCTGAAGTCTTAGATAAGTAGTTTAAAATGATTATTCATTTCTGATTTTGTTTCTTGAGAAAACTTTTTACACAAAATATAATGATATTTCATGCTTTTCATGATAACATTTTATAACTCCTGTTTTTACTATAGCTTAGAAAGCTCTGTAAGTTTGATTCATAATAATTCACATTTAAAAAATTTTGCCAGTCAACATGCTATGTGTTAAGGATACAGAAATAGATGAAGGAAATTCTTGCTTTCAAGATGTGTCAGTAGGATATGAAAGAGAAACGTGTAAATAATTATATCCAGTCAGGAATATTTTAGCAGTAGAGTTAGATCGTACAGTACAGTAAGAACACAGAAGAGCAAGGGGCTCGCTCTGTCTGAGGTGGGAGGATGTCAAAATAGCTTCAGATAAGTGATACTTGAATATGAGTTTAAGGATGAACAGAAGTTTGCCAAGCAGATAAGGCAAGAATAAAAATTAATCAAAATGGCGAACACACCAGACAGTATGGTAAGTTTACATTAACTTGCTCATTTGAGCCTCATAACAGTCCTATGAGGTAGTTAGGATTCCTGTTCCCTGTTTAAAGAGGAGGATATTGCAGCCCAGTGAGGTTAATTAACTTTTTTGAAGTTGCACAGCCTGTGGATAGCAGTGACCCTAAATAGAGGCAATGGTAGTGCGGAGGTTTGGTTTGTACAATCGGTGAAACATTCACCAAATACAGGCACATGAAACAGCATGGCTGGCTGGAGAAAATCTCATTAAGCTGTTGGAAGCCTTTGAAGCCTCACTATGCAAAGTGGGCTTGTGGACCAGCAGCATCTTTATCTTGTGGAGCTCACTGGAAATGCAGAATCTCAGGCCGCATCCCGGACTACTAACCTGCACTTTTGAACAAGTTTCCTCTAGTTCTTTATATGCACTTTAAAGTCTGGGCAACACTGTTGGTAGAAAAAGGCAGGACCCATATTGTTCATTGAGAAGTTCACTGATGTCCAATTGCAGTAAAGTTCTAAATGCTGACTTTCAACTTTTGTAGTTATTTCTTTTGAACCTGTTTCAAAAAGTAGGCGGTCTGTGGACAACATTTTGAAGAGCCCTGGTATAAGGGGTTTATGTGTTGGGAGTGGGGGAAGGAGGAGGGTGAGGAATATCTGGAAATGAAGATAGAAATGGTAGATCTTAAAATCTCTTTGTCAAGGTGATTAGGTTTTTCACATGCAAATGGAAGATCTGTGTCCTAAAAGTAACAATAGGGCTTGGGACAATTCTGACTTCCTTTCAGCTGCTGAAAGGGCTGCAGTGCATAAATTGTCCTGTAGATGGAGCCAGATTCTAGAGTCGACCAAGCAGGAGAGGGAGTACTCTGAGAAGGTTGAGGGTTCAAGGACTGTTAAAAATAGTGGAATAAGTCTCTAGAGAATTGACTGAAAAAGAGTAGAAAAGAAGGGCAGCAGCACTGAGAAAACAAGTCCTTGGTTCAGGCGTTGAGAAAAGAATGCAGATGGATTATAGTGAGGACTATCCCAAGTGATAGGCTTGAGTGGACCTTAGTGGTACTATGACTTACTGCTTTCATTTCTGAAGATGCCAGGGGTGCCTAGGTGAGGTCTTGCCAGATTCCACCTCACCCCTTTGGCACACTCATTTTGGTATGAGGTGAAAGTCCTACAGACGCTGGTCTGAAGGCACTGACGTTTTTTTTAAACACAGCTATGCCATAGAGCTGCTGGAGGTTCCTTGTTTGTTTTGCTCTATCACATATAAGGTTTTTATTGAAAGTGTACTGTATATCTTTACTGGCTACAGTGATGCCTGAGAATTGCAGCCATGTTGGGTTATGTACACATATGATACATTAACCTAAACGTAAAAGGCCAAAGTGAAAGGCAACAAGCGTTGATTTGAGATCCAAAAGAATGGCTGTTCAGGAAGCATCGGTTCAGTCATAAATGCAAACTGCTTCCCTTGGGAGGCAAAGGTAAGAGGTACTGATGAGAAAGGGAAGGGGAACAATTATATGAATAGAAGGAAGAAGCTTCTGTAAGTGCAGATAAACTCATATAGTGATGCTAATTCTAAAGAGTGTCTTTAATCTTCATATCTGCTTTCTTGCTAGTTTTACAAACAGTTATTTATAAGACACTCCCTGCTTTCGGCTCAGTCTTAACATCCTAGAGGTCTGAGGAGTAAGACTTGCAAGCCAGTTCTCCTGGGATGGCAGCTCCACCTCCATTTTGAAATGGCTCCATTTATATTATCTTTCACAACTCACATTGGAGATATGTGTGTACACGATCAGTATAAGACCCGAAATAAAGAACAGCGATGGTGTTAAGGAGTTATAGAACCAACCTCTTTTTGTATTTTTAATTTTCACTGTTTTTTTTTTAAACTCAGGACTATCCCTAACTTGTGGAGTTGGGCAGTGGTATAAATGTAGGTCCACCTAGCATTTATCTGCATATTTAAAACATACGAACCAATTTAGAAGACTTGGTAAATAGAATACATTATATTCCCTTAACCAATGTGTTTTTATAATGGAGAACACCAGCTTGGCATTTTGGATGCTGGGACTGCTGAGCCGTCTCCTCTCCATGGGGGGAGTGTGAGTGGCGAGGAGCCACTTTCTCACTTCCTCCTGCACGTTGAGGGCCTCACGTGCTCGCACGTGGACACCTGTTTTGTTTTGGTCTCAGCCTGTGGATAGTGATGCTGTCAGCTAGGAATGCCTGAGCACTCACCTGGGCCTGTCTCGCTTGTGGCAAGGCCCCCACGGACGTTTCTGTCTGAAGCCAGTCTTGTGGCCGGACAGGGCCTTATGGTTCTTATTAGGATTGTAGGACTCACCTCAGCAACAACCATTCGGGAACTTTGAAAAACAAAAGATTTATTATTCACAGGTTCTCCAGGGTACAGGGCATGCCTGAGGTCAACACAAGGTCATGGGTAGAGAGGGGGAGGGAGCACTCTGCCTTTATTGGGGCTGACGGTGGGGTGCGTAGGGTTTCTCAGGTTCACTCTTCAGTGGTGAATTAAAGCATAAGAGCAGGAATTTGGTTAGGGTTCAGTGAAGAAAAATCAGCTTTCCTCAAGCGGACTGTTATCTGGATTACCCAGGGCTTTCTGAAAGGGAACTTCCTGGGTAGTGCGGCCTGGTTTCCAGTTGGTTTCCCAGTGGCTGTGTCACACGGCTGGCAGCATGGGATTGAAGACAGGAGTCTTAGGATGGACACCTTGGCAATTAGAAAGTTTGATACCAGGCACTTACAGTTTAACGCTCCAGCCCTCGGTGTATACTCCACTCACACGTCTTGCTCCAATCTCCACTGACCACCCCTCAGGACTTGGGGTACACGTACCTTCTGCATAGTCCACTCTTAGGGGGACAGGGATAAAGAAGAGGGCCTCACAGTTCCTGGACACAGACACAGACTCGAGGCCCTTCAGACAGGAAATTCCAGACATCTGGACACTGGCCAGTGGTTTGAAGGGCTAGAGGGACGGGACAGGGCCCGGGTGGAGGCTTCCTCCGGGGCCCGCAGAGCCATCCCTGCACAGACAGGGGCATGGTGGGAGAGAGCCAGAGCGGGACCTTGTAGCTCAGAGCTCGGACTGACTCTCACCTAAGGGCAATAGAAATTATATACTAATCATGATGGTTTGCTTATGTGAATGGAATACATATTTACTATGGCTCTTTTTTAAGTACTTCACATATACTAACTCATTGGATCCTCACAATAACCCAAAGAAGAAGGCACTGTTATTATTATCCCTATTTCACAGACAGGAAAGTTTAGGAACCCTGAGATTGAATACTGTATGAAGTTTAGCTAGAATTAGTGGTGGGTATGGGAAATGGGCCAATGACATCATCTCATAGAACCTGCTATAGGAAGCTCTGAATGATATTTTTTTTAAAAAGTGCTTTCACCTAAGTACCTTTTCAATTCCAAGTGAATGCTGGTTAGCCATTTCTCATGACAGTTGATAAACAACCAGTGTGATTATTTTCGCAGCAATCTGCTCCTTGTGTTTGCCTCACCCAGTTAGAATGTCACCAGGCACGAGTTAAGTGCTGGTTTGAGAATT